TCAATGTGCCACACCCAGTGTTAAACAGCTTATAAAAGAGAACTGTAATTGCGATCGATGACGACCTTGCAATAGTCGTAAATGCAAAATTCCGAGAAAACCCTATCCGATGTTATGCAGACAAACCTAAGGAGGCTGAAAAAGTGGACCAACAAAAACTTAGGCCTAGGAGTTAACCCAAACAAAAGTGAGCTTTTACTATTTACCAGAATTTAAAGACATCAACCGGGGTCAACATTGAACGCACAATCAGTGAATCTGAGAAATTATTAGGCCCTCTCATTTTCGCCGTCTTGGGAGAGATTGGGCATGCCATTATATGCAATCACAATTTACAAGAAATTTCCTTCTCAGAAGCAAGTGAAAGGTGGATACAACTGGATACAAAAAATTCAATTTCTCATACAAGTTTGTATAGGAGGGAGGCAGGGTTAAATGAGAACCTTTGTGGTACCACAATGAACCCGATTAAGAGCCTAAGTGTGCTAGTGTGCCCACCATCAGCCACTTCAACCTAATCTAACTTAAGTATAATTACCAAAAAAGGGTCAGAAAGTTTCACTAGAGCTATGGAGGAACGAGTGGACACTATCCACTACATGCACCAAAATTCTGGAAATATTGTTAAATCTACCACCAGATCTCTACGACTAATTTCGGTCCGGCTGCAGTGCGGACAGGTTAAACACGATCTGGCCATAGATAGACCTCAGATTCTGTCACGTAAAGGTACTTGAAGCTCTACCGGATATTCTATGACAGCTAGATTATACCACTCCTCTACTCTCTTTAGACAACAAATTTTCCATGAGAATGCCAGATAGAAACTAATGGGAAATTAGGGTAATACTATAACGAAAAAATGTGAGAACTCGCGCTTAGTCTAAGTTTTCGCTTAGCCGACCATTATGGCGTTTTTAAAGCAGAGCTAAATGCCATAATGGAGGCCGTTCTATGGCTCATAACCTGCGGATGGCCTATCACTATTTACATTTTCTGACAACCAGGCTGCTATTAAATCTCTAAAATATAACGGAACAACCGCCAAAGTAGCCATAGAATGCAGGAAAACTCTCAACCTTCTGGCATCAAAATGCTCATTGACTATTGCATGGGTGCCTAGACATAGGGACATTTCTGAAAACTGCATAGCCAACGAGTCGGAAAGGAGAGGGTCGGAAATGAATATCTGAAGTCAATTCTGCCCAAAATTCGGGAATACCTCTAACCGCATGCAAATACAGATTAAAGGCCGAAGTCATCGACAAGGTAAATACCAGGTCCGCTGTATGAACTGACTAAACAGTTCATACAACATAGTTACTATCTGGGCGGCCAAAAATGGCATCGCCGTCAACCCCAGTAAGACAGAACTGGTCTTATTCACAAGAAAATTCAAAATCTCCGCAGCTATTCTTCCCTCAGTTGGAGGTCTGGGCTTACAGCTATATGACAGGGTCAAGTACTTGGGTTTTATCCTAGACCGGAAGTTGTCGTGGAGCCTTATATTGAAGTAGACCCGCTATTGGCAAGAGATGGGGTATCTCGCCTAAAGTTGTCTATTGACTCTAAGAGACCGTAGTCAAGCAAATTATTTTTTATGACACCCTAGTCTGGTGGAACTCACTGGGAAAGCCTACATTAGCTAGGCAGCTGGAACGTGTACTACGGGCTGCATTAATTAGTATTAGTGGGGCACTGCGAACCGCTCTCACATTATCAGTGAACGCAATGCTGAACGTAGTGCCCGTCGACGTTGCAGGCAGAATTGCCGCGCGAATGGCTATTAGACTCAGGGAAAATGATTGGATGACCAACTTAGGGACTGGGCACTCTGATGTTCTAGGGGGACTCGATTTCATCCCTGATCGTACGGATAACTGCGCTACCGATACGGTTCCTCTTCTCTCTTCACTTCCACTTTTTTTCTGCTCACTTTCCCTCAAGTGAGGAGTTGGCCGGGCGGAACTTCTGGAGGAGGGGTACGGTGAACTTCTTTACGTATGGATCGAAACTGGAAGGCAGGGTTGGTGGTGGGGTCTTTTGTCGAGAGCTTACCATCAGTACTAAGTTTAGGCTGTCGGACTTCTGCAGTGTATTCCAGGCGGATGTAGCTGCTATTACGGAAGCGGTGGACTTACTGCTAAGGAGCGTTATAACAGCTAGGGAAGTGAGCGTATATCCGCTTGGCTATCAGGGCCTTGAGTTCGTTGGAGGAATGATCGCTTGTGGTACACTCTTGGATAGATGGGCTTCATGTTAGCTCAGCAAGCGCTGGACGAATACCGCGGCATGCGTGATCGCAAGGTCCTTTTGGCCGAGGGTGGACCGGGGACGGTCGAGGGCACTCCTCACACTCACAAAACCACCGTTCTCACTTCTGGTGGGGGTTTTAACGGGTCACTGTCCTATCTGTATTCAAGCAGTAAGACTGAACATTCTACCGGACCCCTTATGTGGCAGTTGCCTGGAAGAGGACGAGGTGGAATCACCTCAACACTACCTTTTTAAGAGCCCAGTGTTTGTGAGGCTAAGGTTGAAGTACTTTGGATCTCCCTTTCTAAATAGCACCGAGAAGCAATGGGGCATTGAGATTAGCCGGATTCGAAAATTCATAATCGGCTCGGGGCGTTTCATCGATAAAGTTGAGGGTGCCGTTCAAAATTGTGGTACGATCTCATATTGTGTAAGTGAGCTACGGTTACACGGGGCTGCAACCGTACCTTACCTAACCTAACCTAACCTACCACATAAAATTTATCCGTCAAATATGATTCCAGCCATTGCAGAAAGGTGAAGTGCGGCACTCTCACAAACACATACCTTAGAGAAGTCTATATAAATACAATCGACTTGGAGCCCTTTCTAAAATCAGACATACAGAATTCATTATTCACTATTTCAGTGAAATTTTATTAAAAAAAAAAGGCCTTTGAACAATTCTTGTGACTCACACACACACCTACTCTTATCCTAAATTGAATAGGCTATATTTTATTCAAGCGAATTTTAAGACTTAAAAAAAATTCCGTATTCACTGCGAGCTTGGAAAATAGATCTAAAAAATAATTAATCCAGTGTATGTACATAAATTACTATAACTTACTCGCCTATACATGTTTCCCACATGGTTATACGCTCGTTTGCACACAAGTACTTATTTAGTATATGTATGTATGCAAATACATGCGCTTGAGTACCTACACTGCAGCGACGAGTATAACAAAAAGTAAAATCCAAAGCCAAATAGCAATCCAAGTTCACAAAGGCTCAGGCTAGACGGGCTGACGTAGGGCTGTATTCATATGGCTGAGTATATGTATTGTGTACATATAAAGTGCCAACATTGACTTAACTTGGTCAACAGGGAGCAATTAAAATGAGAACATGCATATAACAAACACACACTGACACATACATATGTACATATACACCCGATACATTGTTTGTGCTGATAAATGGCCTGATGCGGCATTGCCAACTAAATCAATGTAGCTGTAGTACAGTTACTCACCCTGGTACCGCCACGGTAGACAGCCATGGAAATGATGGGTCCAGTTTCAGCGCTGGCAGTGAGCGAAATATCCTGTAAAAATTTAATGCATAAAAATATTAAATAAACCAATTAAAACTAATGTGTCGATAAAAAGTAAGTAAGTAGTCTAGGCTTCATAGCAGAAACGGCAAACGCGAGTGCACGATTTGTGCAGCGTACAAATTGTTTCGAAATTTTCAATGCAAAAGGTCAAAGGTGAAAACAAAATGTAAAATAAAAAGTAACAGCATGAGTAAACAATGTTTCGGTAATGATGATGGCAAGGATGCTAGGCAAAACTAAATATTTTACATAGTTTATCCCTACTATTTATTACATAACTCCTGTGTCTACTCACCCGGAATTCTGCCTGCTCTACGCGTATGTCGAAGTCGCCATGCAGGCGCTTGCCACGGAAATACTTCGACCAGTCGGTGTTTTGGTCGTCGAGTACGAGCAACGTGAAGTACTTGTCCTTGTTGAAGGCCGGCGCTCGGGTGGCGCTCTGCACCGCAGCACCTTTATGTATTTATGAATTTTTAATGAGACTTTTATTAGTGGTGGTTGTGGGGTTTATAGTGGCAGTTGTATTGCTCGTTGGTAAATAGTTTTTACAAATTTACATATGTATGTATGTATGTAAGTTGACGCAAAGAAAAACTGAAGTTTTATGGTATTAAACTGTTTTAATGAGCGCAAAAGTTTTGATTTTAACTTTTTTAACTTTCATTTTTTTATGTTGCGAATAGGAGGCAGAGGCATACATTAAAAGTTTATTCCAGTTGAAGGGTATTCAATTGCGTTGGAGAAGTGAGAAAATGAAAAAAAAAAATCACTCATCTTATTAAGAAATCTCGCAAGAAAAAGATTCTAGAAAATATTGAATTGCACGCTGCACGTGTTTGAATACAACTTGAACGATTATAACAGCTTTCATTAGAAACTCCTACGCTTGTTTTCTACGTTTTTACCTAATTCATGAAATGGAGCTCTTTATTTACTTGTTTGCCTGAAAGGATTTTCGATTTGAAATTTTTTTCCCCATTTTACTTTAGTTTAATAAGGAAAATGCGTGAGTGTTGAATATTAAACTGCAATTTATTTACCCGTTGCATCTGTCAAAGTCATAAACATACATACATCATATTAAAAAATGTATAATGTTAAGTTTTTTTGTGCTCTTCTATGCGATTAAAGTACATAACGAAATTTCAAGTGTCGGATTGTGGGTAATCCTCTGTTAATGAAAAGTAAGTTTTTATATATACATATACAAATTTGCGCTCGTTTATTACACTAATCGACAAGGAATCCAACCTGTGGCATTTGACCAACACTTCTTATTAAAAGTTTAACGGTTAAAGCAGATATGAAGTGAAAACATAAACAAATATAAGAGTTTTTGAGATGAAGCCGCCAGGGTTGAGATATTTTGTAAATCCGTATTTGCGCTCCGATTTGGTTCGAATTCGGAGTATGTAGTTGAAACATAATAAATCAAAGATTACCAAAAAATTTCCCTGAATTGGCCCTGGATTCAAAATACAAAGTATGTTCGACCTTAAATGCATGTTTTATTTGCGTCAAAAATTCATTTAAAAACAATGTTTATAAAAATATAACGATGGAATTGTTTGTCACGTCACGCCACGTTATGTAACGTTTCAGAATGTTTAAAAGAAGTTGCATTAATTAAGAAACCTCTAAAAACAACTAAATATAGTTACTTCAAATCATATTAAAACAAGTGAAAAAAGCCTCCACAATCCGAAGAGTTTTGTGATTTGGTAAGAAAAGAAAACATCAACTTCCATTTTTGTCACGTAACGTCACCCTCTTTAATTGTGTATATTTAAGGACCATGCGGTTCGATTAATTTAATTTTTCATTTATCGGCTAAATATAGAGCTAATTATGTGCTACACACATGGATCAAAAAGAAAGTAAAAGAAAACTAATGTTTTTCCTTGTTGGTATTTCATTGAAACCTACGACTGTTACGTATGCGACGTATGGAAATACACCATATGTAAATGAATTAAGAAATGCTTACGCGTATTGTTGCTATTAAAAGCAACAAAGTCTTTTTCTAAAGTGTTTTTCGGAAGGTTTGGATGGCTATTAATATTTTCGATGGAAATCAGCAGACTTTCAGTTTGTGATTTTAACCGCCAGCAATTATTTATTTCCTGCCAATTTCCATACAAAATCCAAGAAATTAAAATCATTTTCAACTTTAATTGCTTTTGTGAAATTGTCTGTAAGTCGAAATAAAAAAAAACAATTTATTTTCATAACACTACATACTTCGCTATCAGAGGGTGATTCAATTCCAAAGTGACTTAATGTCAATCCATTTGATCAATGGCAGAACCTTCAAAACAGTCTTCTAAAAGACTGGATCAATAACAGACAACGTAAGACCTGTACATCATCAATTTAACAACTTCGGGTGGAAACACCCGCACAACGCTCCTTGAATGGAAGTGTTTAAGATAACTCGAATCTTATGAATCCGTGCAGCGCTAAGTTCGATAACAAAATTTTATCTTTAGAAATGAAATGCTGTTTTAACCAAATGGAAGGACATGCCACAGAAGGTGGCCAGAAAGTCATCGAATTAAGCTCTGACATTTTAGCTTTATTATTATAAAGTTTCGGACGAAATTTAAATATTCAATAAACTTTATTAACTTTACTTTCTCGACGAGAAAATGGATGAAGAACAATCGTAAAGAAGAAAACCGAGAAGAATGGGCGTATAGATATAGCTAGTTCATTTTCCGCCGCAAAAGCGCCATACTTCTTTATACTTTCCCAGAGAAAAACTACTTGGAAGACCAAAACTAGATTCCGATTACTATTTTTGATGAGGAACATTTGTATTAGTATCAAAAGCCGTCCACTCCCTCTAAATTGAAAGTCAGTAATACCACCAAATAATAGAGCATCCCCGATTTGGTAGGTATCTGTGCGTTTTTCCATAAAAAACATTTACCTCCATTTTAGATGGGGTAGACGGGTGGTCTAGGGCACCCTATATATATAGTACATGTGCATGCGTATTACGTCGTAATGTCTCAAAGCCGTACAACTTTTCAATGTAAGATAACGGTTAAAATGGTTTTCGAGATTTTACAAGGGCTTAATAAGAGCATATAATAAATAGCATAAAATAATTGTGATGCAGTTAAAATTCCCCTTTATCCATTATTTCGCATTGAAAAATTTTACGAATTCAAGATTTTCCAACGCCTAAGGCGTCTTGTGAATCCTCTAATTGTAAAAACACGAATAAGAAATTGTAAAATTTATTTACCCAATATGGAAGCGCCTTGATCACGCGCTGCGCCCGTCAAACTCTGCACCCGCTGTAGCAAACTTTCACGCGATTTCGCTGGGCTAGTTGGAGCGCTAACGCCGCGTGGCGGAGCTGGTGCCGCTTGCTTGCCACCACCAAAACTCAACGATAGCTCCGGGCCACCAGCACCTGCACCGGCTGCGGGCACACCTGGCGCCGGCGGCGGTGGCATGTTCGGTGGGCCGCCACTGCTAATTGGCGGCTTCGTTGGTTGATCCTGAATGGGCCGCGCAGCAGGCGGCAGTTGACTGGGATCGACATCGTCATGCTCGGAAGACAAATCTCCCGAGCTAAATCTATATGGTTTGCAAAATATTTTCGTTTGCATGTGTGTGTTTATGTGTTGGTGCGTGGTGAAAGTGTTTTTGGTATGTAAATGTAGCAGCGAGTGAAGTTGCATAGCGTTGGTAGATTTGTTTTTATATTTTTGTATTTTTTTTTTTTAGTTTGTTAGGTAAAATTTTTTAGAGTAACATTGCAGTAGATTAAAAAGGATACAAATATAAAAATGAAAGAAGAAAATGGAGAGAACATATGGAATTTTAAATTAGTGCTATTCGTTGCTACTGTGCAGACGCCTTAAGTGCGTCTGCTTTGGATTTTTAAGGCTTTTACCTTCGCTTCAGGAAATTAACATTGGAAGTAAAGCTTGATTTGAACGATGAGAAATTCAGGGTGCTGGTTTTAGGCTCCTGCAGAGAGGCCAGCAAATCGTATGTAATTCGGACGCGTGAAATAGAAGGAGATACAATGGGAAAGTTGCTTTTTATTACCCGATGGTAACTCAAAGGAGTGAGTAACATATAGAGTGAGTGATTGTTTTATACTATTCTTGTCTTAATACATATCACATTTTGTGGCAAATTATCTTTAAGCTAAAACTCAAATTCATCTTCAGTGGCAAAAAGTGTATGCAAGGCATTTTAAAATTGTATATAAAGGCATAAACAAAAATCTAAGCTTTATTATAAGTTTATACTTTAGTTACGTAAACGCAAGGAAATAATATATTGCATGTCATGTAAACGTATTATTCAATGTGCAATAAATTAATTAGCTGTGCATTTAACAAAAACTTGCTAAGCACTTTTTATATCACGATAACCTAAAATTATTGCATAAATCCTGGCTCTTACTCATTGAAAATAAACTACTTTTTCTCAAAAAAACTGAGAAATTTGTATTTAAATTTTTTTCTGAATTGCGTAAGCTGGCTGTCCGCTGTGGGGAAAAAGGCTGACATTGCAGAAGGTAGAGATCTAGTGCTTTGTTAACCCCAATATTAAGGCAGGGTTACAGGGGAATTTTGGCAACTGTTCGTCGACTCACCACAGTCTCTCGAAAGACAAAAGTCTCGCAACTTACCTTCGAAGCTCTTTACTTTTTTTGGAAAGACTAGTTGAAACTGACGAGGAGGTCTTAGCGTTATGTTGTGCGACTTTTAGCAATACGTTTTTTTTTTTTATTAAAAAATATGTATGTATGTATGTATACTTGCTTATATTTTTATTTTTTTTTCAGCTCAAGAAAAACGAAAAATTCATATAAAATTACTCGTAAGAAATGGAAAAGAAATTTTCTTCTATCAAAATTTCTTAAATCTGATTTCAGCTCTCAGCAGAAAAAAGTGCTCGCATATTTATTTCTTGAAGAAAATGTATATCAAAAACAAAGTGCGCTTTCAAGTAACAGAAATAATAAAAAATATTTCTTGTGCTTTTTTCCGTTAGTTGAATTCCAAGCTTAAATCATTGAAAAAAAAATAATAGTAATTAAATTAAAAAAAATCTAACTCAAAAATCAAAAAAACTTAGTCAAATCAAAATTTTGCAAAAATAAATAAGATAATAAATAAACAATAAAATGTAAAAATTTAAACAAAATTACATAAGAAAAAGAAAAAAATTAAATCAATTAAATAAAAAAAAATATTTTTGAAATTCAATCAAAAAATTAAAAGGAAATAAAATAAAAAAATAATATCCTAAAAATTAAATGAAATAAAAAATATTTTTTAATTTTTGAAACAATAAAGTCTATAACCATAATTGAAATTATGTATACCGAAAAACAAAAGTAAATTCTCAAAATAGCTTTTCACCACGAGTGGTGAATGATAGAGATTTTTTTCTAAGACGTTTGTATTAGAATAACAAAAGTCTTTCCAACTGTCTTGTAATTTGTCTTATGAAAGACTTTTTACTATCCTTTTTTTAATAGATACAACTAACTCTCTGGCGTCAAAGTGGTAGATATTCAAGATTTTATGCTCTATCTTTATCTACATATTTGTGCAAATGCAAAACATCTTAGACGTGCTGGTTCAGCGCTTTGTTCAGCAAGAATGGTCTACGCGTTCAAAATACAAAAAAAAATATATATATATACTTTTGTTGTTGAACAGTTTAAATTTAAAGAAGTAGTGGTTGTAAAGTCGTGTAAGGCGCAAATTTTACATTTTCTGCTATGAATTAAGATGCTAATTACGCTCAAACTCTCATACATATAAATAGAATTTTTTTCCTGATGCATTAACAGGCAAGCAAGTTTGCATTGCATTAAAATGTGCAAAGCATAGCGGATACTATCTTCAAAAGTGACACAACCAAAAATTTTTAATTTTTGAAATTATGCACTAAAAATGTATACAGCGCTTTTACTTACCTCTCAGCTAAAGCTCGAGAAAATTGTTGCTATAATTTGTTCGAAAAACCTAAAATAAAGGCTCCCTTGCCGATATGATTAGCATGTGCTACGAAATAGTTTTTCGCATTTTCTGACGAACGTGTAATTTTGAGTTGCGTCACTTAGGAAGATCGCGTGCGATATGTTAAATATTTTCTCAGTCAAGTGCGAGTACAAATTGAATGCAGAGTAGTGATTTAACGAGACAAACTTTTCCCACAAACTTTTCCTTGTTAAGGAGATAGTTAAGGCAATTAAAAATTATTAATTTCCGAGTTAAAGCATTTCATATGCATACATACCTACATACATACATATAGGAAGCAAAAACTGAGTAACAGTGCATTTGCTGACAATTAATGAGGTTGCTATGCTAACAGTACACTAAAAATGTTTTTTTTCCTGCCAACTATTAGCCAGCTTACGTAATTTGAACCAAAAAATGTAGTTTTGCGATGCAACCACCGTATTATTAGCAGAAGCTTAATGAGTTTAACCTACACTATTACACTGTGTTATACATGGCGTATGATGAACTTTTACGTTTTGTATTTTTCACTTCAAATGAAATTTTTACGCTGAAGGATGGTAAAAATCGTAAAAACTATTGACTGAAGGAACTTCTTTGCATAAGCATCCATTTGATTGTAGCTACATACTTAAAATTTCATATGCTTTAAAGGGTTGATTAGTAAATTTTTCTATAAATTTTCATTGTTGTATATAATACAATAATTATTCATATACAAATATGTAAATATTTCTTTTGTAAGTTATGGAGCGTAAGGGAGAAAGATGAGAGAATTTGAAGTGAAGTGAAATGTGGATGAGAATTTGCGCGATTTTTTATTTTTTTGTTTTTTTTTTTTGTCTTTACCTTTTCTGAAAAGTTGGTATCGAATTTTTCTTGCATCACTGCTACTTAAAATAAAAAAGAAAATTAAATAAATGTGCAAGCCGACAAAGTGCAGTAAAATTATTTAAAATAAAATAGTTAAGCAAGTAAAAAGTTATATACACAAAGTCATGTGTACAGATAGCTAGAATAACTTTTGATGGGCACTTGCACAGGCAAATGAGACAATGTTAAATAATCGTTATATATGTATGTATGCAACGCACATTCGTGTGAATGTAAGTATGAAGTCAAAAGTTAAATAATTTAAATAAATTGCAAATCGTTTGTCATAAAATAATGAGACAGGAAAAAAATTATAAACTTCCTATTTGACTTTGGCACGTAAGCATGCCGTGCGCAGCCAACATTGTCTTTACTCTCTTACTTTATGTTTTCACAAATAAATAACGAGAACGTCTGCATGGCTTTGCTACATTTACTCAACTAAGCCAATCGAGCGTGCAATAACAACACCAGTAGCAGCAGCAGCATCATCAATACTCGAGAACAGTGGTTCTTAACCTTCTAGAGATGAGGGACCTTTTGAAAAAAATTCTGTCCTCCACGGACCACCAATATTTTGTGGGAATTACGAGTATATAGTAAGTGTAAACTAGTAAAGGGTTACCAGCAGTATTTAAAATTTTGTTTACGAAAATTTTACTTTACAATGATAAATATGTACATATATTATTTTGGGGCGATTTTTTTACTGTATACCCTTTACTACTCGAAGCAAAACGCAAATCGATGGTTGTTTTGAAATATTAGAAGCGCCGACCACCCCTGCTCGTCCAGAGGTGTCAACGAAGACAAAGTAAGATGGCGTAAAATTTGTTTCGCGTTCAAAAATATTCAAGATTATTCCCTGTCCGGAATGCAACTTTGAAGTTACTATTTTGTTGCATTTCCAATCACTTCAATCAGGCAGCTTAAAAACATTAGGGCTGTTCAGGATATTGTGGAAATGGTCTTGGATGTGCAGTTTGGAATTGCATTTGCAAATTTTATGCTTGCTGCCATGGCAACCGTTTGCATTTCATTGTTGTGAATTTACAAATGCACCGAATATTCAAATGCAAGAGCACAAGACCGTGAACAGTGCTACTGATAATAAAAGGATTGCATCAGTTTACGTATACTTTTACCCGCGCAGTCTAGAAGATAGCGATTGAATTAGTTATTTAAGTTGTTCAAATGGAAAATAATGTTCTCTTGTGTTTCTCCTTTAAACTCAGCACACTGCTCGACAATAATTCACACGTTAACTCGGACTTAATCCGGATCAACGCTGCTGTCAGCTTATGCTTTTAATAGTATCAAAGCATTCTGCGTTTTTCTTTTATGCTTTTGTATTCGATTTTTTATGTGACTTCGAGGTCCACTTCGGTCGTTTCGTATGACCACCGATTGTCTGCGGACTACCGGTTAAGAACCACTGCTCTTTAAGAACAATCCTCATTTACTCTTTGAGGCAAGAAAAATATTATTACAAGAAAATTAGTATACTCTATTAGTATTGCCATTGAATAGAGGTCATTGGTGACGTTCCAAGCGCATCATTTTCAGACTCATAAGCAGTTCATGCACCTACATATGCACACACTTGTATATACCGGTGCCTCTGACGCAAGTAGGCTGACATTTTTGTGGTTACCACCGGCGGGCACTCGCTTAGTTAGTTAGATGGTAATGTGCCTGACGTGACTAACATGAGTAACTATTTGTTGGCATTGAAATAGTAACTAAATATGTGTATGTGTAGGTAACTTTTTTGCACAGAGTGAAAAATCAATTCTCTTTAAGGCTCAGTTACTCTCGACTTAATTTAACTTACGTCAACTTAGCTAAAAGTGAAAATATTTTGTTTTTGTATTTTCTTTTTCTGCTGGTTGTCACTTTGCCGCCTATAAGCCTCATCAAAAAATTTCTGAACAAAAATATATTCCGTTGGCTAATATATTAGGTTACGTTACGTAAATTAAGTCTAAACTCTAGAGTAACTGAACCCTTACGTAGGTTTTGGGAAAATACTTGATTTTTCTAAAGAAGAAGTTTAACTTCTATTTTTTTAGTCAAAGAGAAACGTTGAAATTTTATTGCTATTTTTTTATTGTAACCGTTTAAGTTAAACACATTTTATTGCTACGTATAAACTAGATATTTGTAATTTCTTATATGAATTATAGCGAAATGTGCATGTAAATATCGAAAGTTTTTTTTTTGAAAAACAGTTGTGACTAGGGTGAAAGCATAAAAAAATGCATTTTTCTCTCTGAGATTTTTTGAAATTAAAACATGTGCATACAAAAAATGTAAGCAAAATTTTAATTGTTGTTTTTGACTAAAAAAATAAGTCAGAGTTTAACTTTTATATTGTACCCAAAAAAATCACACTTAAACCTTTCTGTACGAAGAAAAATTTTTTTTATATATATATTTTTTACAGAAAAAATTTAAGTCAAATTTTAATTTTGTTTACTGGGAAAATATAAATTTCAATGTAACTGTTATTTTTTACTGAAAAATGTCGGTGAAAAAAAATCTTGGCCGACGTTTTAAATTGAAATTTCGAATATAACTATTACTTTCGATCCCTCCCATATAACCGTATGTATACTGAAAAATCCAAAAAATGTATACAAATAAAATATAAAGACTTGTTTACACTACATGACCTGTATATAAAATAAAGGACATGAAATATATGTCTTTTTCGAATGACCAGTCCATAGAGACAACTTCTCAGTCAATCATTCACAAGAATATTGGAAAAACGAGCGTTGACGCTGCCCTCGACATGCTCTACGCTTTCGATTTCCTCCACATCAGGGCAGCTAGGATACTAATCGTTTGACTGCATACCCATTCTAGGGTCGTCGGTTCCCGGTAAGAAATTCAATTAGACACCGGAGCAGTGGACACTCCAAGCGAAGGAGAGGACGAGATCTGTGTTAATCTAACTTATTGGATGCAATATAAACAGAAATTGCACCATTTAAATACCTTTTTGCGTTGGCAATGGCGGTAGAAATTACTCAATTTTCATAAGCTTGGACTGTTTCGGCCATTAAATAAAAAAGGCATTTCAAATCTTTTTTTTATTTTCCGTTATTGTTAGCCCATTGAATTAGTCAACAGGGAAGGGGTTGCATATTTCATTTCATGGCCGGCGTTAGTATTGATTACGTATTATCAGTGAAGAGGCAGAATTTTATCGAAAATTCTATGTACTCGCTCTGATAAAACTATTGAAAAATACGATGAACTTCAATCCGAGCAATAAGTAAAGTAAGCGAGATAATCCCTATAACTGCTCCCAATTTTGCAACTCTCACAAAGGTTTCCATTCAGCCTTAACACTTTGATATTTGCTTTAAAGATGAGGCTGCTGCTAGAACCGTTGTGCATTGTTTGACAATCATTTTAGTTTATTGAGCACCAATTGCAACTAAACACAATCTTGAAGGATATTCATAAAATATTGAAAGTTAAAAACTACTAAACAACAACTGAAAATATTTGCTAAAAAATGAAATCAAATTATAATATAAACTGATTTTTGCCAGCAAACCCTCAAAAATGCTGCAATTAATCAAACCTGAAATTTAACTCAGCCACATTAATCATAAAATAAAGACGAATGTTAGATTTAAAAGACTTCCACGAGTTGATAGCAGACGTTGTGCAAGTGCAAGTGATTTGTGATAAATGAGTGCAAGTGCGCATATTTAAGTAGTTGTGTGTGAGTGAGTTATAGTCGAGTGTGTGTGTGTATGTATGTATTTATGTACATATTTAGGTAAATGCATGGCTTTTGGAAACTTACCGGTGGCGGGGCGCAGTATCGCCCACACCCAGCAGTAGCTATAGCGCTAATATTGACAGAGAGATGCGATTTAACCGAACAGTGCCGTGCTGTTCAGTACAGGACGCTTTGTACACGCGCTCTCTACTGTTTCACTGCCTGGATGTTTGTAAATGAAAAATGTCTGCGTCACCTTTTTGAACCTTAATAGGCGCGTGTGCGGGTATTTTAATCTACGTATTCGCAGAACACACACAAGTGTTGATTAAATGTGTAGAATTCCCAGTCGACGGCACAGGACTCGTTACTATAGCTTCTGCGCTTTCATTAACTATTCAGTATGAAGCCGTTGAAAAATCAAACGCGAACGCTGAAAAAATTTTTTAAACGAAAGATAGAGAGATTAATTATATTGTTTTCTATGGAAAATATTAAAATGCATAAATCTTGCTCCTATAAATTTGTACTGTATGATAACAGGTTGTAGAAGAAATTTAATTTATGAACATAACTAATACAACTTTATG